TTAATTCACAGGCCATTTTGCAGAAGCATAAAACCCAATCGGCACCCAATTATCTAGTTTTATATGTTATTTAGTAAACCTTCAGATTCCCAATCACGTCAAATTGTAAAACTTTTTCTCTTGGGTAGGAGCTCCTTTGAGGCCAGTGGGTGAATGCCTGTGTACCCTATTTACATTTATAAATGTATTCTTCCAGAAAGGATAAAACCAACATTGTCATTGTTGCATGTCTCCTACAAGGTAATAGTTGTGTTGTGAGGTTTAAGAATTCTAGGTTTGGCTGGGCACGGTGGCTCACGCCTATAATCCCAGCACTTTGGGAGGCCAAGGTGAGTGGATCACGAGGTCTGGAGATCGAGACCATCCTGGCTAACACGCTGAAATCCCGTCTCTACAAAAAATACAACAAAATTAGCCGGGCGTGGTGGCGGGCGCCTGTAGACCCAGCTACTCGGGAGGCTGAGGCGAGAGAATGGCGTGAACCCAGGAGGTGGAGGTTGCCGTGAGCCAAGATCGCACTACTGCACTCCAGCCTGGCAACAGAGCGAGACTCCCATCTCGGGAAAAAAAAAAAAAAAAAGAATTCTAGGTTTATGTTTGAATTAACTCCTTTGCTGTGTCATATGGGTGCCACGGTTGTTTCTCCCCAAAGCAGGCTCACTGTGTACTGTTATCAGCTTGTCTGAGTATGATGAGAGAGAACACAATCATGCACATATTACATAAGTTGATTTATTATTTATAAAGGCATCAAAGAAGATGAGAAGTCTAAAATTCAATGTGATGTGGTCCCCTAAGGTTCAGAGAAGTTGCCTGGAAGGATGGAATTTTGACTGCATGTGCCCCACTTGCAACACAGTTAAGAGACTCCAGAAAATAGCCCATCCCAGGTTTTACAGCCCAGGATCCCCTGACTCACTGAGCAAAGTGTTGAGACATTGTATTTCCCGTGAAGACTCTAAGTCTGGGCTGTTCTACCATTCTCTTCTGATTTCAGAATGCTGCATTCCCAGCACATTCTACACTTATTCTTGAGAACTGCAAGTAAGAAAGAGGGTAGAACTGGGCCAGTCCAATACAACTTGGAGGACAGTTCTCAATCTTTAACAGTGAGGGATCAGGATATTTGTTGTGATAGAAACATAGGCAGCAGCAGTACAGAAATTTCAGTGTCCTAGTGGCCCATCTGCTATTAGGTTACTGGACCAGAGCATGACACATGACTGCTTTTCTCTTCTATGAAAACTGCTTCAGACGACCTTTCAATTCTCATGCAAAGGAGCAGCATTTGATTTATCGTTAGTGTGGGCAATCTGTGTGGTTAAAGAAAACAGTTCAGGAGTCCATCAACCGACACTGAAGACCACCCAATCCTCCAGTGAGTGCCATTCAATCTTGCTGGTGTTAGCAACATATAGTAAGGTCATTTTGACTAAGGCCGTCCAGGTTAGGTTAGGCCTTTGGCATGCTGATCAGTCGTGCTAAAAGAGGCCCATACACTAGATGGAGGTTCTGCAATGAAAGAGGCTAATGTCAAATGCTTCTTCCCCTTTTCTTGACTCATCAGTGCCTGGACCATGAGGCACCATGGATGTGCACCTCATCAGAAGAATGCACATAAAAGCAGCAGCACAAGAAACACTCAAGGCCACTAGTCTTGCACAAGTCATCTTGTTAGACAATTAGGTGACATGCTTAATTCTCCCCAGCATGGGGACATTCCTCCTTTCTGCAACTTCACACACACAAAATCTCTGGTGCTGTCCCAAGTGTGTACAGTAATAATGTTCACATGGCTACTCCAAGCATCCAGTGATGGTAAGCAAACGAGATGCAGCTACCACAGAGCAATAGTCTGACTTTTGATAATCAGGAATGAAGAACCCAGTGGTGAAGGTGCTGGGTCACTGCCTCAATGTGGGGTACCTTGGAAACTGCCTGCCAAACACAGGTCAAGGTGGAACATACCTCCTGCTGGGGAATGGCCAGTTAACCAATCACATCTAGGAGTTGAGAGTTTTACTGTGGGACGAGGTGGCAAATGCTGATAATGCAAAGTGCTGTGTAGACCAAAGTGAAAGTCCATCATCAATTGCTGGTTCTCATTTGGGTGATTTCTGTTACATTATGGAACCAGTTAGACAAAAGCAGGTAGTTAAAGCTGAAAAGATATCATCAGTCATTGTTGGTTCATTCTGTTGGTAATGCCAGTTGTTTCCACAGTCTCATTGGTGACAGAAGAACTGGGACCCTAAGGCTACTGGGAAAAACACGTGACACCCATGACGGTACAGATAAGATTGAGAGCAGTTATCAGTTAGATATACTCATAGACAAAAGAGGGAGGGTACTGTCAATGAGGCTGATCCACACAGGACTTGCACTGGCGAGCAGACAGAACAAACAGGGTGTAAGGGGAATGCTTTGTTGTATCTAGAACATGAGATGCTTCTTGGTTCTCATGAGGATGCAGCTGGTTTGCTTAAATGAACATGTGGAATGGTAGGCAACTGAAATATGTTAGACTACAGACTGGTGAGAACAAAATAGTATAATGCCATAATCCTGTAATATACAGTTTATTGTAGTGCTAATTACATATAAACTAGTTATGCAAAATTCATACTTACAAAACTGTACTATACTACATATTATATAGCTATTTATACACATATAAGTATACATGTACACATTCTATATATACTAGATGATGCTATACTATATGGTATACTAGGGCACACCAATTTGACTATAAATCCAAAAGGCCCCAACAATACACTAGAAAATTGAATGTATCAATATGGATTGAGTGTTTCTTATCTGAAATACTTGGGAATGAAAGTGCTTTGGATTTCAGACTTTAAAAATTTTTGGAATATTTGCAGAAAACTTTCTGGATGAGCATCCCTAATCCAAAAATCAAAATCCTCTAATGAGCATTTCTGTTGAGCATAAGGCCGGTGCTCAGTTTTTGACTTTGGAGCATTTCAGATTTGGTAGTTGGAATCTGGGCTTCACAGACATTCAACCTGTAGATAAAATACTTATATTCCATGATGAAGACAGATTTCACCCCAATGACCGTATTTGTATCTGAAAGCCAGTTAATGTGATAGACTATTAATACAATGCCAAAAACCACAAATCATCTCAATAGATGCAGGAAAAAACATGTGATAAGAGTTCAATACTCCTTGACCATGAAACAATAAATAAAAAACACAAGAAAATTTCCTGAGCCTGTGTGAGAATATTTCTGAAAAACCCACAGTATGCTTGATGGTAAGACTGAATGCTTTCACACTCAGACTAGACAAGCACACTGTCCAATCACAGTTCTCTCTTCTTAATTCAAAGTAAAAAGTAGGCCAGGTATGGTAGCTCATGTCAGTACCCCCAACATGTGGAGAGGCTGAGGCAGGAGGACAGCTTGAGGCCAGGAATTCAAGACCAGCCTAGACAATACAGCGAGATCCCATCTCTGTAAAAAATTTTAAAAATTATATAATTAGCTGGGCATGGTGACATGTGTCTGTAGCTCCAGCTACATAGGAGGCTAAGGTGGGAGAATCACTTGGGCCCAGGAGTTTGCAGCTGCAGTGAGCTATGACTATACCACTACACTTCAGCTTGGCTGACAGAGTGAGATCCTCTCTAAAAATATAACATTTTTTAAAAAAGTGAACTATGCAAATAACAGCCAATAATGACAAAGAATAAAGGAAAGAAAATGAAAATAATACTGTACATGAGACTATATAAACTTCACATACATGCAAATTAATAACAATTCTTTATTAGCAAAGAAAATAGAAGAAAATCTTTACAACAAAAAAGTAGCTTTCCCATAAAAAGGCAGAATAAATATATAGATATATACACACACACACACATATATATAAAATGGGGGAGGAATAACCAAAACTTGCCACATAAGATCAGTAAGAAATTTCCAACAATTAACAAGAATTCATTTTTCAATGGTCCATTAATCAGAGAACAATTAAAACAACCACATGGAAATTAAAATTGCCAACTATTAGAAATACATTTCAACTCAGTCTAGGGATCCAATACATTTTTAAATGAATAGACAAAAATTATGTTAACTGATGAGAAACAAAACACAGCCTATTAAGCTCATGTACGATGCTTATAAAGTATCTATGAAATTGTCAGCTCCATGATTCCTTGCAAAAAATTGAAAATCTAAAGTATAGACACCTTCTTTAACAATGAATCACTGATAAAAATATATTTGTAAGTAACTGGGAAAATTAAGTGCTTTAACACATTTTTGGTATTTTATGAGGTTCTTTCCCAGGATGGGTTCTTCTAAGTTTTAGAAGGGAACTAGGAAAATTGCAACATTCTAATCTTCCTTACATGTGTTGGATTTCTATTTTTTTTTTTTGAGACGGAGTCTGGCTCTGTCACCCAAGCTGGAGTGCAGTGGCCGGATCTCAGCTCACTGCAAGCTCCGCCTCCCGGGTTTACACCATTCTCCTGCCTCAGCCTCCCGAGTAGCTGGGACTGCACGCACCCGCCACCACTCCCGGCTAGTTTTTTGTATGTTTTAGTAGAGACGGGGTTTCACCATGTTAGCCAGGATGGTCTCGATCTCCTGACCTAGTGATCTGCCCATCTCGGGCTCCCAAAGTGCTGGGATTACAGACTTGAGCCACCGCGCCCGGCTCTATTTTAAATTTTAAAAAAATTAACAACTCTGTCGCCCAGGCTGGAGTGCGGTGGCATGATCTCGGCTCACAGAAACTCCTGCCTCCCTGATTCAAGTGATTCTCCTGCCTTAGCCTCCTGAGTAGCTGGGACTACAGGCGCGCGTCACCACGCCTGGCTAAGTTTTGTATTTTTAGTAGAGATGGGGTTTCATCATGTTGGTCAGGCTGATCTCGAACTCCTGACCTCGTGATGTGCCCGCCTCGGCCTCCCAAAGTGCTGGGATTACAGGCGTGAGCCACCGCGCCCGGCCTGAGTTTTTAATTTTTTCACGTGCTCTGATGAAACTAGAGTAACTGAAAGCTTTAACACAATTCTTACATTCACAGAGGTGTTCTATTGTTTGTTTTTTTTTTTTACCACATATAAGCTCTTTCATGCTTTCGAAGGGAACTGGAACAACTGAAGGCTTTACCACATTTCTTACATTCATAGGGTTTTTCTCCAGTATGAGTCCTTTCATGGCTTCGAAGGGCGCTGGAAGAAGTAAACGACTTACCACATTCCTTACATCCATAAGGTTTCACTCCAGTGTGAGTTCTTTCGTGCTCGCATAGGTTACTAGAATATTTGAAGGCTTTACCACACTGTTTACATTCATAGGGCTTTTCTCCACTGTGAGTCCTTTCATGGACTCTGAGGACCCTGGAACATCTAAAGGCTTTGCCACATTTTATACATTCATAGGGTTTTTCTCCAGTATGCGTTCTTTCATGTATTCCCAAGTAAGTGGAACGACTGAAGGCTTTGCCACATTCTTTACATTCATAGGGTTTCTCTCCAGTGTGAGATCTTTCATGTTGGCGAAGAGAACTGGAAAAAGTGAATGATTTACCACATTTCTTACATGCATAGGGTTTCTCTCCAGTATGAGTTCTTTCATGTTCACGAAGATAACTTGAATAATTGAAGGCTTTATCACAATGTTTACATTTATATGTTTTCTCTCCGGTGTGAGTGCTCTGAGGCATTTGAAATACACTAGGAAAATCAAAAGGCTTCTCATACACTGGACCCTTATAAGGCCCATTACTAGTGTGTGTTACCATGTGTCTGTCAACACTGGTGAGAGAGATAAAGGCTTTCCCACATTGTTTGCATTGATATAACTTCTCTGGACATTCCTCACACTCCAGTAGTTTGTTTCCAGTGTGAGACAGGATGTGCCTATGAAGGGCTGAATGACATATGAAGACTTTTCCACACACGCTGCATTCACATGGTTTTACTCCAGCAGAAACTTTCTTATTCAGATTCCAATTTGAATCCTGGCTGAAGGTTTCTCCATACTGACTGCCTTCTTTAATTTCAAACAATCTCTCTACCACACGACTGCTGTAAAAATGATAAACACATCATTAATGGTACATTTATTCATGGTTTACATTGCTACTAACACCAGGGAAAATGCAAGTTTCCTGCCATGTCTAAATTGTTTTAAAGTAAATAAATTAATTACTGTTTAAGACATGGGCCCCCCATAGCTATTATCATTATTATCACAACTGTGATAGTCACATGTACAATATTTTAGTGGTGTTTCCAAGTAAAATATTCTGAAAATACTGAACATCCATGTTACATTCAGGTGTGTTTTTTGCTAAGACTTTTCTGGAAAAAAACAAAAAAACAAAATTTCTAGTGGTTCTTATTTGTTTTGTCTGTTTATTATTATTATCGTTATTATTATTATTTTTGAGACAGAATCTTGCTCTTGCTCTGTTGCCCAGGCTGGAGTGCAATGGCGTGATCTCAGCTCACTGCAACCTCTGTCTCCCGACTCCAAGCAATTCTCCTGCCTCAGCCTCCTGAGTAGCTGGAATTACAGGCACGCACCACCACACCCAGCTAATTTTTGTATTTTTAGTAGAGACGGGGGTTTCATCATATTGGCTAGGCTGGTCTCGAACTCCTGACCTCACGATCCACCCGCCTCAGCCTCCCAAAGTGCTGGGATTACAGGCGTGAGCCACCGCGCCCAGCTGTTTTGTCTGTTTTAAAAACTTATGACATGCTAAGATTCCCTCAAGGGGCATTTTCTGCTCTTGTGAATGCAAATTACCTTAGATTTCTCCCAGGATTTTTGAAGTCATCTTGGATATTCTGGTCTTCTGATTTGTTTCCTAAAATGTACATCCATAAGATTATTACAAATGATTAGAAACTTGAAAAATTGCTAGATTCAAGGTTCACTATACACTGTGACCATGTCTAATTTTTTTCACCAAAGTACTCCCTTTTCACATGCCAAATCAGGAAACATTCATGACAAAGAAACACTTGTTTTTTCTTTGCTTTCTTTCTTTCTTTTTTTTTTTTTTTTGAGGCAGAGTCTTTCTTTGTTGGCCCGGCTGGAATGCAGTGGCTCAATCTCAGCTCACTGTAACCTCCACTTCCCGGGTTCCAGCAATTAACCTGTCTCAGCCTTCTAAGTAGCTGGGATTACAGGTGCTTGCTACCACGCCTGCTAATTTTTGTATTTTTTTAGTAGAGATGGGGTTTCGCTATGTTGGCCAGGCTGGTCTCGAACTCCCGACCTCAGGTGATCCGCCTACCTCGGCCTCCCAAAGTGCTGGGATTACAGGTGTGACCCACCACGCCCAGCCAAAACACTTGTTTTCTAATCAACTACATGAAAAAGTGTTGTTATTCTTACCTACGGAAGCCAGGTTCCTAAAGATTTCTTGCATCACATCTCTGTAGAGATTCTTTTGAGAAGGATCCAGCAAAGCCCACTCCTCCTGGGTAAAGGCCACAGCCACATCTTCAAATGACACTGAATCCTAGAATATCACACATATGCGGAGAGGAGGATGGCTTAGACAGACATGAAGAATCTATACTCATCTCATAAAATCGTACTATAATTCTGCAGACTTCAAACATTTCTTCCATGACTTGGTCATCAGAACTTTACTCTCTGTCTGCACTTACTGCTTCCCACTCAACATTCTTCATGCTAAAATGAACTATTCAGAAAGTCAACAGCACAGTAGGAACACCTTTCTCACTGGCAGGTGGAGGGAATAAACTGTGCCGTAAGAAATGAGGTCACCCCTAATTTCTATGTGTAGATTTTATCTTGAGGGCCTCTTATAAAAAAGTCATGCTATCTGTTGCGTATAACAGTTAGTGTTAAGTCTTAAGACTACATATCCTTAGAAATACCTGCTCACAAAGTCTGACCTTTTGGTATGAGAAAATAAGATTTTTTTGAGGGATCTCATCACCCTATGTGAACAATATGTAAACAATCTTATGCAAACAATATATTTATTATTCACTGAACTCCAGCTTTGTTTTGTTTCTGAAAGCCTACTACTTTACTCCATTCTTGCAGTGGTACCTAGGGTATCAGCTCTGGAAAACACTCTGAGCATTAAGTCTCTAACGAGCATTCTTGGTAAACAGTATTTCTCATATGCTGTTATAACTTGTTAATTGGAGAAATGAGGCATCAACGTGATTATAATAAGAAAATATTTGGGCCGGGCACGGTGGCTCACGCCCGTAATCCCCATACTTTGGGAGGCCGAAGCGGGCAGATCACGAGGTCAGGAGATCCAGACCATCCTGGCTAACATGGTGAAACCCCGTCTCTACTAAAAATACAAAAAAATTAGCCGGGCATGGTGGCGGCGCCTGTAGTCCCAGCTACTCAGGACGCTGAGGCAGGAGAATGGCGTGAACCCGGGAGGTGGAGCTTGCAGTAGGCTGAGATCGCGCCACTGCACTCCAGCCTGGGCGACAGAGCGAGACTCCGTCTCAAAAAAAAAAAAAAAAAAAAAAAAGAAAATATTTGGAAGCTTGCAAGTAGTTTACTCCAGACCAAATTAAATCTAGTTGTAAATAAGACTGATAATTTATCTTTAATAACACAAAACAATTTTAAAATTTCTATCAGATAACAACAAAGTGCAATGGAGTAAGCAGAAAGATAGTACATGTGCTTAGAAGAAACTCAATGTCATCAAGATATCACCTCTTTCAAATAGCCTTAAAAAATTCCATCAATCCCCAAAACAGACACTTTATTAGCAACTGAAAACTACTTTTCCAAACCTAATAAAAAAAAGGTCTAAGAATTGTTAAAGTCTTCCAAACAATAGGGCAATGGCTTCCTCACCATGTATCAGAAATTTTCAAACTATAATATTCAGGACGGCATAGTATTAACATGGAGATAAACAAATAGTCCAAAAAGGAAAAAAGTTTTAAATAAGCAGAAATTTTATATGTAAAGTTTATTGATGACAGAGCATTCCAGAACAGTGAAAGAAATCAAAAGCACTTTAGAGCAAACTGGTACTAACTGAAAAAGTACACTGCATTCCCCTCCATTCCATGAACAATAATCAAGTTCTTTATTTCAAACGTGAAAGACAAAACTAAAATACTTGCAGACTTCAAAGGAAAATAGGAGTATTTTTGGACAGAAAAATGGGCAGAATTCATTTAAATAGAAAAAAATAAAGGAACTGACAAATTCACATATATTAATATTCAGGAAATTAAAAGGCAAAAAGCAGTGGGAAAAAACTGTAATACATGCTATATAAAAGAATTAGTATGAAGTGTAAAAATCAACATGATTGAAAAGTGAGAAAATAAGCAAAGCATACTTAAAAGAAGATGAAAGACCATCTATTTTTTAAAAAGTCAACTTCCTTGGTAATGAGAAAATAGAAAATAGGTGCCTGACATTTGAAGTTGACTAGAGAAAAAAATCAACTCCATGTGACGACGGCCATGGCAAACGGGTTACTCAGGAAGAAAGGAGGAGTCAACTGATACTCTCCGCTGCTCTAATTTGAATTTACCACAATGTGTAGCCCATTAATTTTTCTAAAATGTCCAGAGAATTTACTGTGCATCTGCACTTGGAAATGTGGCATAAAATTATAGGAGCATTATTTTTCCAAAAAAGCAAAAAAAAAAAAACAAAAAAAAAAACCTTGAAAAAGCCCGAACATCAGAATCATTAGAATGCACGGCTGAATTCAATGGTCCACAGCCTCAGGCACTAGCATGTGTGCAACATAATGACACAAGGAAATCATCAAATAAACCTTTTTGTTTTAATTCCATTCATATTCATTTACAGAAAGTTCCAGTAAAGCAAAATGGAACTGAAAAATTACAGATGATAAAAATGCAAAAAAATAGCCAAAGAATCACAACAGTGGTCAACTAAGAGACAAGTCCAGGTGAAACTATCAGAAAACTCTTAAGGACTGTACGGGGCCTAGTGAAGAATCAAAGTTGCTTCAACTATTATTACTAAAACTCCTGACAAATGTTTTACTCATTCTTACTATATTTCATAACAGAAAACTTAAAAATTAATTAAAATTTAAAAGAACGCAATTTTTCTGTTTCTTTGCCTTATAACATGGTGATCTGAGTTGTGATTTACAGATTTCACAGAAACAAGTAAATCGAGCAGCACAGCTCACAGTGCTAGCTGCTTAGTGAGCAGCTAAAGTACATACCGGATCCCAGGCGGCAGAGCCGATTAGCAAGTCATTGCAAGAGAAGACAGAACCACAGGGTGGTGGGCAATGTCTGAACATTCTGCTAGTGGTACTAAGTGCGATGGTCAAGTGCAGAGATGTGTTTGGAGAGCGTAGGAAATTATTACTCAGAAAATTGACCCCTGTGGATCCATCAGGTCAGGCCTTTCAAGGTGGTTTGATATGGTTTGAATGAGGAAGAAAAGGAGCCAGGCCTGTGTTTTCTGTTGAAGGTAGGTGGAAAGCTAGGGTGGGAATTCAGTTTCAAGGTAAAAATTTACATGGTTTCAATCTGCTGCCAAAACCCAGAGAGAGCACCCAGGCTTGTTTTCACCATATCCTGATGTAAGGTCAGAAGTAGAACAAAGAAAGTTTAGGATTAAAAGTTGACAGCAGTCAATTAAAAGAAAAAGATGGAGACAGACACTTCTGATTTCCAGCAAGCAAGGCATAAAAGGCAATGGGCAAGCTTCCTGGGTTGAGTTCTGAGCTCCACGAAAATGTCTGACCCCACCAAGCTGCCTGAGCTATTTAAACGTTATTACCAGAGGCTCTTTCCCTATTCTCTGTACTGTAACTGGCTCAACTACAGCAGCGTGGTAAAGAATTACTCCCAACGCTGTGAATTTTCATTCACATTGAAAGATGACATTTACATTCGATACCAATCCTTCAACAACCAGAGTGATCTGGAAAAGGAGATGCAGAAAATGAATCCATACAAGATTGATATAGGCACAGTATATTCCCACAGACCCAATCAATACAATACAGTGAATCTGGGAGCTTTCCAGGCTCAGGAAAAAGAACTGGTGTTTGACACTGACATGACAGACTATGACAATGTGAGGCGATGCTGTAGTTCTGCAGATACATGTTCTAAGTGCTGTATCCTCATGACAACGGCCATATGCATCACTGACACAGCACTGAGGGAGGACTCTGGATTTAAGCATCGTCTCTGGGTATATTCCTAGAAGTAGGGGGGTATATTGTTGGGTCTGTGATAAATCAGAAAACTGTCTTCGGTGGTACATTCTGGGATAGTTGAGTATTTGAGCCTTGTAAAGCATGGTCAAGATGTTAAAAAGAAAGTTCAACTAACTGAAAAATTCACCCTTTTGTCAGAAAATCTATAAACGTAATAAAAAAAAACTTTGAAGACTATGCCTTGGTTAATCAAGATATTCTCAAAAATAACAAAAGCTGGGATAAGATTTTAGCCCTTGTTCCTCAAACAATTCAGGATGAACTTCAACAAAGCTTTCAAAAGTCTCACAATTCACTTCAGCACTGGGCGCACCAGCAGATGTCAGAACAACATCAAAAATGAAAATGTGGACCTGGCTGGAGTGGGAGATTATGCTCCAGGACTGTTTCCACGACGGGGTATCAATGTCAGCAAAGAAATCAATCATTTACCAAAGAGCCCTTTTAGTGTTCATCCTAAAACAGGTCGCATTTCTGTGCCTACTGTTTTGCAGAAAGTGGATCGGTTTGATCCACTTACTGTTCCAACCATAAGCCTCATCTGCCATGAACTGGATGCCTCGTCCACTAATCAAGAGGAAAAAAGGAGAATTAAGCTGAATCTGATATTAAACATAGAACCAGAGATTGTAAGACCAGTCTGGTACCTTATGTGACAGTTTTTGAACAATTTCTTGAAAACCTGGGTAAACCCTGAAAAAGAGAACTTCTTAAGAAGAGTGATTTACAAAAAGATTTCGGAAGACAATGCTCCTCAAACCAATGTGGGTATCTTCTGCCTTCAACCAAGGATCAAATGCTCCAAGAGCCATTTAACAAATACAGCAGAACTACGTATGTGTCTTAATGCTCAAAGTAAATTTTCCTTTGCTTGAGAAATAATTTATGTTGAAAAGATTTCCTGAGACCACCAAAGGAAAGTGTCAAGGTTCATGGAAGGAGCAATAAAAGGAGAAATAATTGGGAAAAAAAAAAAAACAAAAGAACCCAACAACCAAAGGCAACATTCGGGCTATTATTAAAGAGTCTTTAACAGATGGTGGTAAGGTAGCGCAGAAAATGGAGCACCTACACACTGCTGGTGGGAATGCAAATTAGTTCAGCCATTGTGAAAAGCGGTTTGAAGGTTTCTCAAAAAACTTAAAACAGAACTACCATTTGACCCAGCAATCCCATTACTGGATACAGACCCAAAGGAATATAAGTTGTTCTACCAAGAAGACACATGCACCAGTATGTCCATCACAGCACTATTCACAATGTCAAAGACACACAATCAA